CAGTACGATGTCCGCGCGGCTTTTCGAGTCTTGTCACTATCCTCCGAACGAGATACTCTGTGGTGCGTCCGAATTCGCTGAAAATTGGGTTCCTGGAATCGGTCAAGTCTTAAGCGAAACGATCTCAGCAGGAGCCGCCTATCATGGACAGGGATTAACGGAGCAGAACCGAGATGATGGAGTTTCCTGTCTCGAGTCTCGACCATGCAAGTATGATCTGGGGTCCGGTTACTCTGCTATCTGTGGACATCGCGCAGAGCGGGTTGAATGGCGAGCGTGTTGGTGAAAAGGTGTATCTAAACCTATCACAAGGACTGCTTGATTTTGCCAGCCCTTCGGAAGTGCCCAGCAGCAGGAAGTAAGAATAGAAGCCAAGGAGGCAAGTCCAACGGGGCAGCATGTGCCAGCACACTCAGTATTACAGAGTATGCGCACAGCGAGACAGTACAGGGGAGCGTCCTTACCAGTCGCGCTGATTCCCACCGTTTCCCCCTAAAGGCGGGCCAATCAAACGCACCTCAGCCTGAGAAATGGAAGGAAATCAGGGCCTGTCAGGTCGGATCCCTCTGGCATAGTTTCCGGATGTAAGCAGCTCATGATTCGACAGCGAGAGCGCCACTTGTGATCCTAATTGGCCTTCTAGTGTGCATCAGACTCATGGGGCTCAGCAAAAACGAGTTAAGGCTGCAGTGCCGATGGGGCACTGCTGTGGCAATGCGCCCGCTGAACGCGTCAAACAGCCTTTCGGGGGCCGGGGGCTCTGTTCTCAAGGACGGCCAAACAAAAGCCGCCTTCCAGTCTGCTGCTTGGAGCTTGCGTGGACTGGCTGCCGCGTCGGCTGTGACACTTCGAGCCCAGGGGATGAGGGAAACCAATCTGTCGAGCGAAGCAAGATCTACATCTGAAACTTGTCACGTTAGGAGAGGGGAGGATCTCCGACCTCGAAGACGCTACGCGGACATGCAAATCCCATCCGCCAGAACATCACCTCCAGGGAGGTGAAGGGAGATTCATTCCTTCTCCGACCACGGGCCAAGAGGCAGTCGATACGAAGACCAAGACTGCGAGTCCCGGCCTCAAAGCGAGCCTTGAAGCCCGCGGTCGATCGCTTTCGTCAGGTAGTCAAGACTCTAGACTGTGTTTCATCGCCGGCTGTCTGTTGCCCAGCGCAATCGCTCATCCACATGCAGGTACCAGAAAAAGAGGGGCGGGCGTGTCGACGAGACAACGATCGCGGACTGAGCAAGATATATACACGTCGCGACGGGCTGTGAGAGATCAGATTGATCCTGCAAATAATTAATGGGTCATCTCGCTGCACCTGAAGCCCTGTATCTGGCCACTTGCTCCAGCTGAAACTGGCGATAACATAACTGTGCAGAAGAGGCTAGCAAGTCGTGATGGTGACAGGGACAGTTGGGACTTTGCGGCTCCTAACTTCCTTAGGCTCGGCAGTGGAGCCAGTTAAAGGAGGGCGCCCGTCGCAGGACTGGGTAATTGGGCTCGGCCACTAGCAAAGCCTCTCTCGTCTGTCGCCTGGAGCCACTCCGAGTCCTGGCTGGGCCGCTTCTAACTCCTGTATCTGCAGTGAACTCGAGAAACACAAACAAGTCCATCACGAGTTCATTCCCATCCGCATCGCAGTATACGACTTCTTTGTTCTTTGCTCGATTATCTCCAGCCCGAGCATATCCATTCGTTTCAACCCGATTTTCTCTTTTAGGGTCTCGCCTCGCGGCTCCGTCACCGAGCCGATCCTCCTGTCGCGCACCGAGACTGCGTGCTCCTCCCCTTTCGCTGGCAGAAGGTGTATTTCTTTGCTGCCGGCCAGAAAGGAGTACGACGACTTTGCCTGGCCTCATCACCACCTCAAGTCACCCGAACACATTACATTGCTAGCCTTCGACCACACACGACCACAAAGAGGACCAAGTCCCCGTCTTACGCTGACTCCCCGTGCGGCGTGCTTGCTATTTTCAACCACCTGTTCGCCTAATCTGCACTGCTTACGCCTGCGAATCGGCCAACTGTCGTCCACCTCCGTCCTCGTATACTGCGGCCAGACCACGCATCCTCTAAAGATCACTCCGCCCTCTTCGATCTTATTCTTCAGCTGAACACATACCCTCTGCCTTAACAATCCCCTCGATCCGCAGTGCTGGCGATCGATCTCCCTGACGACGAGGCGGTCGCCATCTGATAATGTCGTCTCACAGCAACAGCAGCTCCTCGTCGCCTCCCCGAGTACCTCCCCATATCCGCCTCAATTCAGGCCAGGAAGACCTCGTGAACAGCAATGCAACCAGTTCATCGAGGACGTTAGTCCCCACAAACTCCAGGCCGACAGCCTCTAGATCGCCGTTGAACACCGTTTACGCCCAAGAACAAGTACAAGACTCGGCGGAAAGGTTACTTCCCCCTGTCTCGGGCGGCTCAAGGAGGCTCAGAGATGGAGAATCGCCCTTGAGGTCGCCCGCTCGCTCGAGTTATTCTTCCAGAAGGTCAAGTTGGGAGTCGGACCGAAGCAGGGACAGCAGAGGCTTCGAGAACCCCTTTCGAGACTCTAGTCAATCGAGACCTGGATCACGGGCTGGCAGCGACGACAACGATGTCAACACCCAGACAGTATCAGAAAAGTTCAATATCTTACCCTCCTCGGGCCTCCTTCTATTCCCCGAAGACGTTGAAAAAGACGACTACCTCCACAACCCCGACCCGAATGACAAAGACCGCGACTGTGATGTATTTAACAAGAGAGGCTTGGTGAACATTGGTGGTCTTGCGTTCATCACGCTAGGAATATTGACCCTATTCGTCGGATACCCGATCCTGTACGTTCACACACCCTCATTCCGAACACCCGGTGCTGACATGTTTCTAGGACATTTGTACAAAAGATCACCTCAACACCCGACCCCTGTGCGGGCAGCGACGCTTGCATAGGAAGCGGCAAGGTACCCCATCTGAAGAACATGCGTACGAGCCTGATTGATCCCGACACGCCTCAATCGGCCATGACGAAGACGGACTACCACGGCAACACATGGAATTTGGTCTTCTCCGACGAGTTCTCTAAGCCTGGGCGAACATTCTATGAGGGAGACGACCCGTATTGGACGGCAGTGGACATCTGGTATGGTGTGACACGAGACTTGGAATGGTACGACCCGGATGCAGCCACCACGAATGATGGAGTGCTAGAATTACGCTTTGACGCTTTCCAAAATCACGGCTTGAACTACCGCTCGGGTATGCTGCAATCGTGGAATCAGATGTGCTTCAAGGGTGGTCGGTTAGAGGCCAGCATATCCCTCCCTGGACGTGGCGACACGGTCGGCTTCTGGCCTGGTTTCTGGTCGATGGGCAACCTTGGACGACCGGGTTACGCAGCGACCACCGATGGCCTGTGGCCCTACTCCTATGCCGACGTGTGTGACGCCGGTATCACTGCAAACCAAAGCTCCCCCGACGGTATCAGTTATCTGCCAGGCATGCGACTCCCAGCTTGTACATGCTCTGGTGAGGATCATCCAACTCCGGGCAAGTCCCGATCCGCCCCTGAAATCGATGCCCTCGAAGCCAGCGTGGGACCTCTTGACGAACTAGGCAATCAGATCGGCCACGTGTCTCAGTCTTTTCAGGTGGCTCCTTTCGACATTTGGTATCAACCCAACTACGACTTTGTCGAAGTGTTCGACTACTCAGTTACCGCTATGAACACGTATAAAGGTGGCCCATTTCAACAGGCAGTTTCAGGCTTGTCCAACTTGAACAATGCGTGGTATGATGGGAACGCTTACCAAGTATACGCCTTTGAGTACACCCCTGGTGCTGCTGGAGATGTTACCTGGTTCGTCGGCGACAAGGCAGTCTGGCGGATGCAAGGTCAAGCTCTCGGTCCCAACGGCAATGTTGGGCAAAGAGTTCTTCCCGAAGAACCCTTGTCCGTCATTGTCAACTTTGGCATGTCGCCCGGTTTCTCGCCTCTGAACCTTACGGGGTTGGCCCCGTTGATGCCAGCTGTCATGCGCGTCGACTACATCCGCATTTATCAGGACGATAACGGCAAGATGACCTGCGACCCTGAAGGGTATGAGACGACCGAGTACATCGCTAACCACTACGAAATATATCACAACCCGAATATAACAAGCTGGTAAGTTTGCCTTGGACAGTGTGCACTCATCCCCCCGCTAACGCACATTTGCAGGGCTGATACTGGCTACGCGTGGCCGAAGAACTCGCTTGTTAACGGCTGTTAATATTAATACATAATGTCCTGGTGCGGTCCAGTTTCGGTAGCCGGCTTGTGCTGGCCTGTACAGACGTCTGTTTCGTCCTGAAGATTTAGCGGCATGGCAAATCAGCATCGCGGCGTTGTACGAGGGATTGATTTTGGAGGACTGGAAATCTGGGACTATTCGGAGTACCATCATGGCGGGTGTCGGCTTCAAAAATCTTGTCTACAACTCCTTTTACGACTGAAGGAGGGAATCATGACTTTTCCCGGTACATTCAGCGGACAGCACAACTTTAGAGCGAGGGTGATAGCCATCACCGAGAAACAGCGAGATGTGGGGATGAAATGTCGAGCATGAATTGATTGCGCCGGAGAAGAAGAGATGCCAACGGCCGGGCTGTGAAGTTCTGGCGACACTGGAGCTGGATGCGAGAATGTATTCTTTGTCTTGCTCAATGGCTCATTGACGACTGACGTGTCGAGACATTCCTATCAATGCAAGCACAATTGAACAGAACCCAGCTGCTAGATACTGAACCCGATGTGATGCGTGGAATTACAAGGCACGTGCCTAGTCTGATAATCCTGCAGTTCGTGACGGTCATTGCCTACCTACTTTACACGTTCTTCCATGTACTCACTTCGGCCTCTATTTCGACTATGAGCACTCTCAGCTCGGGCTGACCTATTTAGGAGCCATATACGGAGTAACAGGGCATCATCAGGCTTCGCATCGACGTCGAGTCTCGTGTGACGCAGCATGTTCTCGACCACCTTCTCATCCGCCAGCAGCCAAGCGCCAAGGATCTATGCCACCGCTGAAGAGGCAGAGGCAGCTGCGGCAAATGAACGGCGTCAGGCTCCATCTCCCAGGACGAAAGACGACTATGCGACAGCCCAGAGCAAGCAGCGCGCGGAGATGATTCTGGGACAGTACGATCTATTGATCAAGTACGCCGTGGAGAATGGGGTTGTGAGTTACCCAGGAGTCCTGGATTCCGCTGGATCGTCGTCGCCGCACTGACACGGCGTCAACAGTCGATACCGCAGACGAGGGCTTATTTTCGGAAGGTGTCGTTGGGCATTGCCACGGAGCCGATTATCAAGAATTGGTTTTCGTAGCTTCTTGAGCTTGGGTGGGCAGAAGTCGGTGCTCAAACTGGCTCGCGATCCGTACCACGGACTGCTTGAGCTATTGGTAGCCAGGATGTGGCTACATCGTCCGCCTATCACAGCTGTAGTTCTTACGAGAGGAAACACATATGATCAGCACGACGCTCACGCGGCTTTGGTGGCTTGTCACACATTTACTCCGTACACAGCACCCAAGTAACAGCCACACGACCCGATAAGATAAGATGCACTCGAAAGCCGGGAAAACTTCGGCCTGCCACCCAAAAAGTTTCATGTTCGGTGCAAATACCATTTGATGCGCACACCGCAATACATACGAACACTCGTCGTCGGTGTTGTGGTCGCCGCCATGTCTCTAGAGGAGAAGTTGGCCAAGATCAAGTCACCTAATCTTCAGAGCCAAAAGCATGTATGTTATGGTCTCTGCGAGGGACAGCCGTATACTGACATGAGAGAAGACAGCGGTGGTTCTGTCGTCGATCGAAGAAACCCTCACCGAGCAGAGGACAAAATTTACACCGACTGCATACTTTGCTGCCCTCCTCGCCCTCTTGAAGCAGTCTGCCTCCGGTGGTCCTGACAATGATGTCGTTGCCTCCACCATCTACCTGCTCGACCTGGTCACCTCTCATGTGCCCGCAAACCTCCTCCGCTCCCAGTTCAACACAATCGCCTCTCTGCTGGCGCCCTTTCTGAACGCTTCTGGCTCGAATGCGCCACTTCTACGGTCGGCAATTGGGTGTCTCGAGTCACTATTGGTTGCACAGGACTCGGCAGCATGGAATCTCCCGCAGACACAAACGAGCCCGAGGCAAGCTATCCCGGTGCTGCTCACACTGGCCATTGACTCAAGACCCAAGATAAGAAAACGAGCGCAAGAGGCATTGACGAGTGTTTTGCAGAATCCTCCACCTGGGCCAGCTCTCGATCATCCGGCTGCCGAGCTATGCGCCGTGGCGGCGCAGAATAACCTGAACAACGCTGTGGATGTGGCGCACCAGGCGCGGCGGCAGAGAGGCCGACCCGACGACAGCCATGAACCGGCAGTGATACATGCCCTTCAGCTGACCAAAGCTGTAGCTGTCGCTTCGGGTGGGTGGCCGAGCAAGAAGATCGAATCACTGTGCGAATTGCTACTGTCGATATCCAGATCGAGGAACGACTACTTGGTCATGAGTGCTTTCGAAGTGTTCGAGGTCATATTCGAGGGCATGCAGGATGAAGTCTCGTCGTCAAAGCTACCACGGCTGCTCGAGGCCATAGTCGACTTGAAACCTGCCCAAAACGACTCCCAGCTGGTTCCGTCATGGATAGCGATTCTGTCGCGAGGCTACGGTGCAGCAGCTGTAGTCGAGCCGGAAGAGACTTTCGGGAAACTGCCAGAGCTGTTCGATCTTGTTGCGCCCTACTTGACCAGTCCGCCTCACAATATCAGGGTCTCGGCCTCGGAATGCCTGATTTCGTTTTTCGCCAACTGCATACCAGACACCGTTATTTCCGATCCGTCCGTGTACGACGAGAAGCTGCTGGAGCAGATCTCGAAAAAGGCACTTGACCTACTGTCGGTCAAATACCAGCCGGCTTGGATGGAAGTCTTCAATACGCTGTCGGCACTGTTCGACGCTCTACGATGGAGAGGCGACCCCTTCCTCCTGCCCCTTGTCAGAGCCATGGGCGAGCTGCGTGGCAATGAAGGCTTTCAAGGCAAGAAGGAAGCCGACGAAGTCCTTGGTCATGCCATCCGCAACCTTGGCCCCGGCGCAGTGCTGAGTGTGCTGCCCCACAATCTCATCAAGCCACAGCCGGATCAACCGGGCAGAGCATGGCTGCTTCCTCTGCTGAGAGATTACGTATCGAACACTAGCCTGGGTCACTTCAGGTCGGATCTAGTCCCTCTCAGTGAAGCGATGTACCAGCGCGTCATCAACCACGGTAACGTGGAGAAGACCATGAATATCAAGGTCTTCGAGACTGTGGTACAGCAGGTCTGGGCGACACTGCCGGGCTACTGCGATTTACCACTCGACCTGCAAACGGCCTTTGACCAGCCTTTTGCAGAGATGATCTCGAATCTCCTTTACAAGCAGACAGATTTGCGAGTTGACCTCTGCCGGGGCTTACAGAACCTTGTCGAATCCAATCAAGCCCTTCTGGCATCCGATCTTCCGGATGAAGTGCTGCAGCTTGAACGGAGGCTGTCCCGTTCCGACGCAGAGAAGAATATTCAACACCTGGCCCGATTCGCAAGCAACTTGCTGGCCGTACTCTTCAACGTTTACAGTCAAACGCTCCCGCAATCGCGAGCATGCATTTTGCAGTGTATTAACAGTCAACTTGGCATCACACCCGAGAAAGACCTGGTGGACACTTTCGAGAGGGTGTCCACGATGCTCCAGGATGCCCTGCCGAAGGCAGACCAGCCGCCGCCAAAGAAGGAACAGAACCCGGCTTCTGCCAGCAAACTCCCACCCACGTCTCACACTCTACTCGACCTCGTCATTGCCCTCTCAGTCCACTTGCCCCGATCGACCTTCGCCTCCCTCTTTGCCATTTGCGCTGGCATCATCACCAACCCGACCATCCTCAAGTCCGACCCACAACTCATCAAGAAGGCGTACAAGCTTATACCCCGATTGTCCACCTCATCCACCGGAATGGAAGCTCTCAAGGACCGAAACAAGGAACTGCAGGAGCTGATGCTGCGTACATCAGAGATGACACCCGTTCCTGCTCGACGCGATCGAATCCTTGCAATTGAGACCATTGTTTCATACCTCCCTCCAACAGATCTTCATTTCATACCCAGCATCCTTAGCGAAGTTGTGCTCGCCTGCAAAGACAGCAACGAGAAAGCCCGAACAGCTGGCTTCGACCTTCTCATTGCCGTGACGAACAAGATCTCGGATCCATCAAATCCACCGGACACGAGGATCCGCAACCACCTCGTCCCGCATATGCCGGATGACTCTCCAGATGCACCCGCAACCCTCGAAGAGGTCTTCACCATGGTCAGCGCCGGGTTGGCAGGCGTGGCGCCACATATGGTCGCTGCAAGTATCATCGCGTTAAGCAGACTGTTCTTCGAGTACCACTCCCGACTGACGGACAAGACGAAAGAGGACCTTGTTGATACAGTGTCGATGTTTCTGCAGTCTAACAACCGTGAAATCGTCCGTGCGGTGCTCGGCTTTGTAAAAGTCATGGTTGTTGTGCTGCCTGGGCAGATGTTGGGACCGAGGATGCCAAATATCATGCCGGGGTTGATGGTGTGGAGTAAGGAGAACAAAGGCCGGCTGAGGGTGAAGGTCAAGGGCATCGTAGATCGATGCCTGCGCAGGTTCGATGCAGCCAAGGTGGAAAGCTGGGTCGGTGGTGAGGACAGAAAAATGGTGGTCAACATCCGTAAACGAAGGGAACGGGCGAGGAAGAAGAGGAAGGCTGGCGAGGAGCCTGAGGAGGACGACGAGACTCCGACCAAGAGATACGATAATGAATTCGACGAAGCAGTCTACGGCTCCGAGGATGATGAGTCGGAGATTGAAGGCAGCGATGATGGAGCCGACGACGACGACGATGACGACGATGACGACGCCATGACAGGGGTGTCGATCAAGAAGCATAACGATCGTGGGAAGAGGAGGAATGACCAGTACATCCGTCAAGAAGCTGACGAAGATGAACCCCTCGACCTCCTCGACCCGAGAAGCATGGCAAGTATAACGACTAAGAAACTGGGACGGCTGCGAGATTCGGATATCAACCCGAGGAAAACGAAGGCTCAAATCAACGAAGACGGCAAACTCGTATTCGGTGGTAAGCCAAACGAGGGTGTGGCCAACGATACGGTTATGGCCGGCGGCGACCAGCAGGACAATTCCATCAACGCATATCTTGACGCCGTCTCGGGTGCGGACGCCGTCCGAAGAGGTCAGAAGGGCCGCTTGAAAGTCAAATCGGGCATGCAGAAGAAAACGAAGCGAGAAGGACGTGAGCGGGAGAAGGATGAGATGGAGCTGGACGTCGAAGAAGCCCGACAGGTTGCCAGACAAATCATGCAAGGAAGTGCCAGTGCCAGTGCCAGTCTCAAGTCTCCAGGCGGGAAAACCGATGCCAACAAGCAGCAGCGGCGAGGCCTGGGCATGGAGAAGCGGCGGGATGGACCGCAGAGACAGAAGTTTCGAGGCGGAAGTGGCGTCGGCAAGCGGCGCGGTGGAAAGGTGCAGTTTGCGGGCAGGAAAGGAGGACGAGGATGAGGATTGGTTCTCTCTCACTCTTTCAGACACGACGGCATGTAGAGATGAAAACATGGGGACACTCATCGGCGCGTGGCACAGTGATGCCGCCATCCTGTTACTTACCTCCTGTGGCTACATTTCCCTTTTTACCGTCCTGATCACTGCGACGACAGCGGTGTGTGTGTGTGTGTGTGTGTGTGTGTGTGTGTGCGGTATGCGATGTCGTGATCGTCAACAACGAGTCTTCCTGGCCTTGTGACTTCCATTTAGACTGCAACGACAGCGGTGTGTGTGTGTGTGTGTGTGCGATGTCATGTTCGTGAACGACGAGTCTTCCTTCCTGGCCTTGTGACTTCCGTTTAGACCTTGGATTTCGCCGCAGCACATTGTACAGTAGTAGTTGTGCGTCGGCCTTTAGGAATGTCCCCGTGTACGGAGTACAGTAGAGGTGAAGAGCCTCACTCTGGGGAATTTTCTCGCGTTATACGGAGGTACGGCAGAACAATACCTGATATTGCGCATGGGCGAGATAGGGCCAATACGCCACACGCCACACCACCGATAAATGGGGTCACGTCTATATTCGCGCACTTGCTCGCTGCACCCGGTTCCGGGATCGATCAGTTTTTACCCCTTTGGCGTTCAGGCTTGGTGGCAGATCAATGCCCAATTGCTCGCCAGGGGTATCGGTCGAGTAACTCGTATCGGCAGCCAAAGACAGGAACACGTTCTCTGTGACTCTTTTCGGGGGGGGACATGATCATGATGAATTCATCACAGAGGGGCCTGGGCCCGGGGGGCAGACCTGACCTATATACCTTAAGTTACAGAGGCCTACGTAGACAATATGGTACTTTACCACAGGGTGGGGGGGTTACGGATCCATGAACACCTACCCCTGGGTTGGCGCTGTCTGGCCGATTGTCGGGTGCCTAACCTTCCCAGTCACATCTCAACGGACGCGCCATGTCACGATGACCGGCGTTCATGTCCTTTTGCGTCGTACCCTGTTTTTGCGGTCGATGCGCACAATGCTCTGTGTGATTGTATTTTGCTAGAGAACTGTCGATGCGATGCGCCGGCCACGGAGAAGTGCCCGGTGCGTCTTGCGCCACATGAACTCCATGCACGTCTCGACTTTCGTTAGCTAGCAAGAGGCACGTTCACGCCCAATACGTTTTGGAGACGATGAGGGCGTGAAGACTCACCGTTCATTGAACGGCAGGCACGATACCCCCCCACCCACTCACGAACATCTCCTGACAGGCCGCTGTCCTTGTTGGATTTCGAGCCGTTCTCGCTATACCAGCACCGCTACGGATGAGTGAGTGAAGAACTGATCCGATGGCTGTCGGGAAAAGACCAGGTGAAACTCATGGCGTCGAAAGAACGGCCGCCAGAACCGGACTTTTGGAGGGGGGGGGGAAAAACCACAGTTAATCTAGGATGACGGTGAGGGAGAGAGATGGAAGATGTGGTCGTACGAGTAAACACAGAGCGTGATGACGAGATGTGAGGGAGGGGAGAGGAGAGCCAGGGGGAGCTGTTTTTCGCCCGAGACGATCATGCGTGTCCTTCTCTGAATGTGGCGGTCGGATCTTCTAGCGGACTCATCATCCTGCAGGTTCTGGTAGTCGTGCCGCATGTGTGTAGGAATAGGTGTCGATGGATCGGTCCCTCAGTGAGGAGGATAGACGATATACGAGTCGTGGACTCGGGCGAAAGCTCTTGGTGCTTTGGCAAGTGTGATAGAAGGAAAGTGATGACAGGAGATCTGGACTTCGAAAAGAAAGGAGGAGAGAAAGAGTGAAGCGAAGGACGCGTCTCGGAAGACTCTCTTGCAAATACATAGATAGCCGGGCTGGTTCTGGCAACCCCCGTTCGGCAGATTCTGGATGCCCGGAATGAGTCGAACTTGACATTGAAAACGTTAAACTCGATAAATAGCTACCGGGGAGGTCTGATGGTCCTGTAGCAAAACATTCACGCCATCGTTGCTTCACAACTGTGTGAGGGTCAGTGGGTACTGTAATCGACCCGCTGACGTATTCCCAGGAGGCACCGCAGAACAGCCCGACCACAGAAACAGGGGGCGGTCGTGGCGGTCGACCTGGGAATGAGCTGAGTGGGTCTGACTGATCCTGCTTTGAGCCAGGCAACTGCTGTGCTGGTGTAGGGCTGGATGCCGGACCACAGCCCTGAGACGAGTCCGTTCAGGGAGAAGTGGTCAATCAATCCGATCGAGTTGCCGAACATGGACATTTCAGCCGAAGGGCGACGTGTCAGTGCATAATGTAATCCAAGGCGAGTTTTATGCACTGGTGAAACCTCGAGAATCCCGGCAGAAACCTCAATACCCTTGACCGTGGAGGTAAATCAAGTCATTCAATCACAGAACGCTCGTCGATGTGGGTAAAGTCCGCTGGTCATTCTTGGCTGGCTACTCATTTCCGTCTCCCGGGTTGCCTGCCGACGGGAGCAGGTTGTGCCTGCAATGTGCCTTGTTTCATCGCATTCTCTGTAATTACATTGTCGTCAATTCAATATACGCAGTGGTGGTGTTTGCGGCAAACCTGCCAAGAATGAACCTCACGGGAAAGCGGCGAGGCTGCCATGACTCGGTGGGATACTCGGCTACGGAGCACCTGACTCGCCATCGGATTTACCGGGACTTCGTAGGTACAGAGTAGTCGGTACGGAACATCTCCTGAGCGAGAATGGCATATGATTGTGACGGGACATATAACGATCGCGGACATGATCTGAAACTAGGAAAGAGGCACGTCTTCTAAATGACTCTCGCTACCAAGATCGCCGCCACCTTTGCTCATGGCGTGGGAAACCTACCTAGGTAGCCAAGGGGACAGGGTTGAGGGAGTGTTAGGCATGGGCAAAGATGTCGCGGAGCCCGCCTGCGGCTGATTGTTGGGGAGTATATGTTGCACGGGAGACATTCTCTGCTGTTTGAGTGGCTGGGATTATGAGCTTCCGGCGGACGTCGTGTACGTCCAGCGATCGTATGCGTGGAGAGACGCGTCTCTCCAGTCACGACCGAGGATCGATGATGATGACACTGATGTACTCCTTGACCGTCGTCAACACACGATGTCAGTTGGTGGCAGCTTCTGTGGAACACGTCCAGGTCAGCATTGCGACACGCTGGTGGAGAGGACGGCGAACTCGGTCGCAAGCGAGACACTGAGAAACAAGGGGCACGTCCATTCCATGCCAGTAAACATGCTATCTTATTGCTCTGTTTGGCGCCATATGGAATATCGTATGTTATTTTGGGGCCACTTGGCCATGACGGCCGTTGCTCATTCCAGCCACTGACTCGCCCCCCCAGGTTGCACGACGCTGGGCTCCTCGTTGATCATACTTTCGGTGTCGCCCACCTGCTTTCGCTCCGACACCTCCCCACTCCGCAATCGTGAACGTACTGCGGCTAGACGTCCACTGCTGATGCTTGGAATGCGTTTGCGCTCATCAGCGTTGCTAGTGCCCTTCAGCGCCAATCCTTGGGACCCGCGGTTGTCCCTCATGACTGCTGATTGTTATTGGAGAGGCTCTGCAGAAGAAGAGAGCCGGTTGAGGTGCAGGTAGACGTCCGTACCATATCTAGACGCAGTGTTAGCAAAGGCTCCGACCTGGGGGGAGGCAAGGAACGAACCCTTCCATGGAGATCAGCTTAAGATCCCCTCCGAAGTACCGTGCATACAACCGTGAAAGTGGCAACCCGTACCCAAATCCAGCCATCGGCGCCTTAAAGTCACTAGCGTTAAAACCCGGGTCCAGCTCTGGTGTGGTGTCGACAGTAGTGTACATATATGTCCAGACGAGAGGAATGGCCGATCGTGGAATCCCGCCTCCTTCGTCGCTGATTTTGATGGTGATGTCTTCCTTTCCCTCGGCAACGATCACTTTGGTCACGGGAAATTCGTCCTTTTCCGCACCGTGTGTCTCAACGACAGCTCGAAGCGAGTTCTTCAGCGTTTCGAACAGCATGTGTGACAAGTGACCCGGAACGTACATAAAGTTCAGGTGCGGAGGACAGAAGAGCTGAACTTTCGGGGCATCGAACAGGCCGTAGTGATCCTCACACACGAACCTGGCATTCTCGATCGCCTCCTCTGCTAGTTCTCGGACATTGGTCTTTGTACAGATGATGCCCACATAATTTGGATGTTTGTTGGTGGTCTGGTCTGTCAACGCAATGTGTTGCCCAATAAGCATTCGGATACCAATGCGAGACATGTAGAACCGGTCGAGGAAGGATTGGATCGAGGAGTCGATTTGCATTCGTTGTTGTTTCCGCTTCCACTCATTGATGCCTTGAGCCACGGTCGTGACGACGGGGTCGTGTCTTCTCTTGATCATCTCGAGAGTTCGAGCGAACTTGCGGTTGTACTCGGACAGGACTGGCGGCCATTCCTTGCCGTCATCCAGGGCAGCAAAGTAACGTCGTGAATTCATGCTACTCTTGCCATTGCCGTCGTCTTTGAGACTCGGATTCCGTGTAGTGGCGGAGAGTTTTGTGCTTTGTTTTTTGGGAGGATTTAAGAGGCGGTCCCGGGTGGTAGAGTCTAGGTTGGGTCGCGGAAGGGTTGTGATCTCTTCGAAGGACTGGGCATACCAGTCTCTGACCTTTTTAATCGAGGGCATGTCATTGAGGCCATCTGGTAGTTTGCGGAGCTCTTCGACTCTGTGCGCCAGACGAACTGGAAGCTCTTCGGAGAGAAACTGCGAGGCACGAAACAGGGTCCCTGACGGGTAGTCAGTATTAATTGTCTCGTGATGAGTTCGCCGTCGACGTACCGGCTGAAGGCTTGTCTCCAAACTGCACCATCTGTCGCAGACTGACTCCAGTCGGCGGAAAGCTCGCATAGTGAGCAATGGTTTGGACGAGCTTCTCGGAAGGTTTCCACGCCATGTTGAATGAAGTTCAGGCCTTGCGGCCTGCTTCAGTAGGGACGAACAACTTGAAGGCGTGCAGCGAGAGTATGAAGAGCAGCGACGGTGACTCGAAACTGCAAGCCGCAAAGTCGTGTGGATATCAGGTCCGATGTTCTCCGACTGAAGGGTGCCGAGGCAGGCTCAAGGACTCAATGACGCCGGATGCTCGCCAGTGAACTCGAACGAGATGGTTCTGGAAGTAGGAGCTCAGTCCTCAAAGGGAGCGCCCAAGCTGGTGTAGAAGTCAGGAAGATTCGGTGCTGTGCAACACACGTAGCACAGCCGGGGAAAGGAAAAGCTGAAGCTGCGAGTGACGGACGACTTTGTGACTCGTGCGTGTGAGCAACTGCCCGCAAACCGTGGAGGGCAAAAGAGGGACAAGGGCCAAGGGACACGAGCCCACCGCCGCTTCACCAGAGAGCCACCGGACGGTGGAGTGAATGGCCCCGACGTGATTGGGTCTCGGCCCTAGGGACTGACTGGGCACTGGCCTCCCTGGTCCTTTGGGGGGCAGCGTCAGCCTTCCTGCGCTCCAGCCTTTCTAGCTTTCCCCTTTGCTCCGGGCGTCGGTGTGAAAGCCCCATGGTCCCCCCATCAGCGTCATTCCGGCCGACGAGGCTCGAGCTTGCTGTTGCTCGCGGGCGATCCTTCTGTGTTCCGAACGACCGCCGAACTCTCCGCTTTTGTTGTCATCCTTCGTCCTGCCACTCATATTCCACGGTGGCCGTCTTCAATGCGAAGTGCCTCTTGAGTCTGGTTCTCATCACACAGCAATGCACCAAAGTTCCGACTCGATACTTGGCGCTCCGGACCCGACATGTTCAGGTAACAAGATGCCGGAGTGCTGCGACTGTTATATATTATCGTTGGCCGCAAATGCTCCACCAATGCGATTGCGGATGATGTTCGATCGTAGGGCCGAAGCCCCCAAGATGGTCGGGCAAGAAGGTCTTGTTTGGAAGCAGACACCCCCTCGGAGACGATCGTCGTGATTAACGATCCCGGAGCCATCTTCCCGTTCAAACAGCAGCGTTGTACGCTTGCTCAGCGGCTGAGCAGCCTGAAGCGTCTCGAGCGCCGTTGTTGTCCTCTTAGGTGCTGTCGTTGTCATACCGTGATCTTCTCCTGAGCTCTGGTCGTGGCCTTGTACGGATCTTCCAATTGCCTAACAATCTCTGAGAGCCTTGAAGATCCAGAGCGATACAACAGGCTTCTCCATGTTACTGTCCCTTGGTGAGTACAGACGTGGGCCAGCATGGTATATGTTGTTACCACCTCACGACGACCTACTCGCAGGAGGCTGCTCGGATAATGCTGAAGATCCAAAGGATGATACCAGATGTGCACACAGTCTACTACACGATGTGGTGTGGTGCTCAAATACCTTGATGGAGAAATGTCCCGTTCCAGTTTCTCGTCGTCCACGCCTTGAAATACCTGGACCTTCAGTGTCCCAGTGACGCTCATGGAGTCAGACAGGAAGTCACTGAACAGCACGTCGAGGGGAAATTGGCAGGAGGACATGAGCAAGCACCCAGCGAAGGGCCATTGCCCAGCGGTTCTGGCTTTCATTTGCAAGGCGAGCCTGGTAGGCGAGGCTGACGGACGAGGCTGAAGAGCTGAAAGTGAATGGATGGGAATGTCACGAGGCAGATTTCAACACAGCAAACAAACAGAACAGTTCCTTCCTCAGAAAGCGGAACAACAGGCTTGTAGGTACGAATGGCTTGATTGTTCGAGCGAGAGAAACCGCGCTCTTGTGATTTGATTGTCGTCAAACCTGACGGGCGACATCATCTTTCAACAACGGTCTCCGCTTTATCATCACCTTCCACCCGGCGCGTTTGCAGGCTTTGTTCATCGACGCTGTGGTCGCTTAGTCGTCGCGTTCAACCATGGCATCCAGCGGAAAGCCACGGATTCACTCTGCGGAAATGACCTTGGCTGAGAAGTTTTCGGACATTCCTGAGTCTCACGACGACGACAACATCTCCCAGGGTGTTTCTGAGCCACCTCTCCCTCCATATTCCAGCACGACCTCGGACCCGAAATCTCAGATCGACACCGAAACACACGACGACAACCTTCATCTTCAGGCAATCACCATGACTCGGACTCCAGTTGTGCAACGTCCAGTCGAAGCCGCTGCGAAGCGCGACGACGACCTTCGTCGAGCTCGCAACCCTCAGCAACCACCCATGCCCACCCAAGTGGCCTGGACAGCGGCAGAGGCCTGGAACAACCATATTCGCAACCTCAACTTCCCCAAGTTCATGTACCACCTCGTCTCCTCGATGTGGTTGTGCTTCATCCTGTACCTGACGTGGTGCTTGTTGCCGATCCACGGCCACTGGTCACTGACAGGGCAGTCAGACAAAGTGCCTCACCAGGCCTCAGATCTGAACAAGTGAGTCTCCTCTGCAACGGTCAAGTCACAGGGCCTACTTGAAAACAACTAACTCCGAGTCACTGCAGCTTCTTCAATGACTTCCAAGGCTACTCTGAGTGCAACATCCGCATGGCAGATCTCTACGCGCCTCTCGGTCACGATGCGTCGCAAGTCTCGCACGACGGCTACTGTCCCCGCCGCAAAGATCTTCTTGAAGCCATGTCAAGCGGAGGCCGAATCGGGTTTGACGCACCATACTTTCCCAGAGGTCCGCAGTCCCGGGCCGCCAATCTCCTTCACTCAATCATCTGACTTGTTACCTTTAGGCTGCCACTACCGCTGGTATTCAGTCGAGGAGATCTGCATGATCCTGGAACGCTTCTCTGCCGTGATCTTCGTCGGCGACGACAGCCTGCAAGCCATCTACACGGGGCTGAGCATCCTGCTGCGTCGAGATCTGAGCCACGGCGCCGTCAAGACGTGGGAAATGGACCAGCACACCCGCCGCCAATGCAGCTGCGACAACCAATTCATGTCGACCAGCTGCGCCACCCACCTCGTCAAATCCAGCGACGACCTCGGCACCACCACCGCCGTCTCCGCGGCCCGCAAGGGCAAGATTGAAACCCCCTACCTCTGCGGCGCCCGCACTCCGCATGCCTTCCTCCGCGTGACCTCGTCGCCGGCCCCCCCATCGGCGATCGACAAGTTCAAGGCTCTCACGCCCCGCGAGAAGCGATCAAACTACCACCCCGTGCCCGTGATCCTCGCCCTCTCGCCCACGACCGTCAACGCGGAAGCGGCAGTGTCGAGCCTGCAAGAGTTCCTCGCCCTGGCAGACCAGTCCCACCGCAAGATGCCCATGCTGTGGATCGGCCCGCCAGCCAGCGGCCACACCGAGATCCGCGGCCGCAAGGGCAACCAGGAGATCTGGGACTTTGACCGTCAGCTCCGCCAGGTCGCCGAGGACAACGACGTCGAGGTGCTGGGCATGTGGAACGCCACCGTCCAGGCGAATTCGTGGGATGGCGTGCGGTTCGGGGAAAAAGTCGCCCTCACGCAGGCCATGATGGTGGTGAACTGGCTGGCCAGATTGGAGAGCAGTTGAAGAGGAGATGAAGACGGAAACGGGCCATGACGTGAGTGTGAGCGTGTGTGTGTATGTGAGCTGGAGTGCAGACAAGAAGTGGTCTCACCACCGCCCCAACGATACAAGGACACAGGAACGATTGATCCAAGTGGCGCATCTCACGCAAAAGACCATACCGCGTCATTCAGCCAGTTAGCTGATGGGTTTGTTCTACTCGTCGGTCAGAAGCCCGAGACAGGCAAAAACACACGTAGGAAGATGGCCGGCACTGTAGAATGATCGAAGTCGGCAATGGATGCCCTGCCATGCCATGACATTCAACTGGCCTTGAGTGAACCAGAAGAGCATTTCACAATATTCTGCTCTTACCTGCTTTGCTGGTTTCTTTCCTTCCCCCCTTTGCAGCTCTCTCGCCGCTCTATGAATAAGTCGATATTTGGCGTGGTGCAACAACCTCCACGTGTTTGCAATGGACGTCCCGATGTCACAAAAGCGTCCGTTCCAGACCATCTTCTGTCAACAGTTCGGAAAAAGTCTCAGAAAAGCACCTCCCCACTCCCCTCTGGATCCCTCCACGCGGTTCTCTTTCCCCTCGCCTTATCTCTCCGCTTCCTCTCCTGTTCGGCCTCCTTCTGCAAGCGAAACACCTCCTCCACATCTCCCTCCTCATAACCTGGCGGCGGGTCGTCATCCTTGTCGAGATCCACCTCGCCCAGCAGGAGCACGTTCTCGCCTCTGACCAAAAACGTCCCGCGCGGGATATCGCAGTATAGATTTCGCGCGTGTTGTTGCGACTCGGAAGGCGTGATCGTGCTGTCGGTGTGCGGATTCGTCGAGGTCGAGACCGAGGGCGGCGCCGTCACAAAGTACCGCTCTCTGGTCTCGGTGAGGACGAGGTTGGCGAACTGGTCCCAGCTGCGGAGGACGCCAAAGATTTTACGCCCGTCACGAAGGACGAGGAGAAGTTTCTCTACGGGAAAACACGCGTTAGACGGGCGGGGGCCTTTGTTCTCCTCCATGGATTTGAAGAGGTCTCCCTCGAACGTACTATCTGTTAGATCGAGCAATTGAGCCGCCGTGGTGAACATCTGCGGGGGCAGCTGAGGGGCGCCTTGAGGCGCCGACGGGCCTGGAAATACTGCATTTTGCTGCTGCTGCTGCTGCTGCTGCTGGTGTGGGTGCTGTTGTACCTGGCCCTGTCTCCGTGGCGAAGAAGGGTGTGCAGGAGGTTCGTTCAATGAGAGGTGCTCCATCGTCTCAAACCGAGAGGTAGTAAACGCCCCCTCCCCGAGCAAAAGTTACAGAAGGTCGAATTGCGCGCGCGCTTTTGTTATCGGTGAGGCACGAGGAAGATTCGAGTAGCGACTAAGGAGCGATTGGTGTCAGTTGCAACCATGGCAGCTACCTTGTAGCCACAATATCATCTGAGCCAGGAAACTGTAATTGACATTTTGCTTCCTACAGTAAAGACGAGGAAATGACGAGTCGATGCGACTGATTTGTGCGCATAACGAGCAAAAAGATCCGCCGTAGACAGCCGCGCGGCACTAGCACCCTCGTATACAGCACCGAGACTGTCTCGATACAGAGCCACAAAGAGCCAAGTCGCAGTAGCCGCTGCCTCATTCTCTACTGCGTACATGGCTAGGAATTGTGCTGGCGACCGAAGTCACAGTGTCGGTCCACCGTGTACTGTAACTCGCCTCAAGCTGGACCCTTGGGTGGCGTAGTATCAGGTGTCACATGTTCTGGCGACGGCGTGGAAGCGACTTCGGCTATCAATACCCAGCCGCGAAGGCCCCCTGTACCCAGTATGTGTGAAAATGCCGGGCGGGAAAGCAGTTTTTCCAATGCCGCGCTCCCTTGATTGGCCAAATCTGCCGTCGAACCGCTGACAAAAGAGTAGGTGGCAAGCATATACAACGCGACTCAACATGGTCGCCGACCACCTACGCAATAGTACGTGCACCCAATACCCGACGTGTCTGAATGTACGGAGTGGTTTGCTTGCTTATATTATCACACTGGCCCGCTGTGGCGAATAGGCTCTCATCCATGTTCGTGGTAAGCTTTCTCCCGAGTGGGCAATAGCCGTCAACAGTAGAGACTCGGCGTGTTTAGTTGTTCCTTCTCATCTGTCAACCTCTCCTAATTGCCGCAGAAGCGCGGAACAACATCAGTCCGACAGCGATGAAACCAGGTACCTGGGCCAGAGGAGAGTATTTATGATCACCCTAGCACACCGCTTCCCTCTGTACATGTCCCGTCCACAGTTCGGAGTGATCCAACACCACGTCCCCCACGACTAGGACATCAAAGACAATACTTATCACAACCTCGGCTTCAGTCACGTCTCCAAAATGTCGGTCTTTGGTTTGCAGCGTATGCTTGACCAGAGACGGAACCCCCCTAAGCCAGCCACCGAGTCATTCGCCGGCAGGACCATTCTCTTGACTGGCGCGACATCTGGCCTAGGCTTCGAAGCCGCCAAAAAGTTCGTGGGCCTCAATGCAGACAGACTCATCATCACAGCGCGCAACGAAAGCAAAGGTCAGGCAGCGAAGGAGCAGATCGAAGAATGGGCAAAGTCGAACCACCCGGGGGCTGCCGATGCGAAACATACCGAGATCATTCCGATGGTCCTCGTCATGAGCTCGTTCGCCGGTGTTCAAAAATTTGCAAATGAGCTGAAAGCAAAATTCCCAGGAGGCATCGACGGCGCCATCCTTAACGCTGGAATGATGAACACAACCTACATTCAAAGCAGTGATGGCTGGGAAGAGACCCTGCAGGTGAACACCCTGAGCACCTTCCTCCTCGGTCTCCTCATCCTGCCACTTCTCATCGCCTCAGCAGACTCGGGAAGAAATGCAAAATACAAGCCTCATCTGACATTCATCTCTTCGGGCACCGCCTGGATCATCCAACCAGACGAGATGAAGGCGTTCATGGCCAGCGAGAAGCCTCTGGAGGACCTAAGCCAACAAAAGAACTTTCCAGGCGGTGTGTCCGGTGGGTCAGGACAATACTCCAGATCCAAGCTCGTGCTCGAGTACGCCGTGCGTCATTTGGCAGCCTCGCCCGCCATAAGGGGGCTCGACGGCAAGCCCAAGGTCATCATCCATACCAATTGCCCCGGCCTATGCAAGAGCGATCTGAGCCGTGAGGTTGGAAAGGGCAATCCACTCATTCAGCTTGTCAGCTGGGTGCTGCAGACCACCTTTGCCCGCGCAGCCGAAGACGGCGCTAACACATACGCAACGGCACTAGAGCTTGGCGACGAGGTTCACGGCGAGATGTGGAAGAATAATCGCGTCTTCGAGGTTGGGCCGATGTTGACCACGGACGAGGGCAAACAGTTTGGTGACAAGATGTGGAATGAGATTGTCGGCATTGTGCTTGAGGCGGATGCCAGTGCAAAGGCTTTCTTGGGCTGAAGTGGATCATTCAACGCATCTCGGAGCCAGCCTCTGGTGGTGTAGTGGGAGATTACGGAACTTCTGAAATTCATCGTTCACTTCGGCGCGTCGGGAGTCTGGTGAGATTAGCAACCGGCAGAAGGGACCATAAACGCTGTATTGTTCGTCACATATCGGTACTGGACCTGCCCGATGAACGGGTCTTGTATATGTAACCGGTTTATTTTCGTTCCACGACCAAGTAACAGACTCGACCGGACCGACAACGGCGCGTATGACTTGTCTTCCACTTGAGCATTGCAGCTACCTGCTGGATTGTTGTCAGGACGATTGTCGAGATTGGTCTTGGAAATTGCAACAGAGACCCGCTCATCCCTTGGTATTGTCATGACTGTCCTGGCGAACCCTATCAAGGTGGATGAGCAATCGGTCGTGCATGTAGCTTTGCGCCGATCAAGCCGACTGGCCGGCAATGCAGACCGGTGCGCTGGCCAGCAGCTGACACGTCGGTCTGCATGCCTCTACGTGCTTGTCAGTGGTCGCTATTGCAAGTCACAGAAGTCTCCAAGGAAGACCCATTGAGGCTCCGAGCTGGCGTGCGGATCTGCGGTTGTCGAGTTCATGCAACCCATCTCTTCCTGCGCCCCGCTTGCATCAGACAGCGAGAGAGCAGTAATCTCTCGATCTGGTCTGCCTCTGTTGCATCTTCTCGGGAGGGTCAGCCGACGTGGCCTGTTGGATAACAGTCGCTTCCCCGGAACGAGGGACGACCCCGCAATCCGCCCGTTCGGGCTTATCGATAGCGTGATTTTCGACGTCGACACTCCAGGTCGACATCGCCATGATTTTGGTAGGTCGCTTGCTGAGATCTAGATCGTTTTGCGGGTTGCTGGATGCTGATGGGAGTGCAGGCTTGCTCCGCTTTGTGTCGAGGCTCCTCCACGGACAACAATCGAGCCGCAACGGCGTCGCAACCCGATTCTGTGCCATCCGTTCAGCTCGCAATCTCTGCCACAGCGACACGGAGGCGAGAGGGTCGCAGGGCTCTCGACTTGATGTACGCCAGGAGCACAAGTTCCAGATCGGCCTCTGCAGTGCAGGTCGTCCAGGAAGACGATGACGCATCCATGGCCTCCACGCAAGCCACCACAAACACCACAGATGCGGTACCACCGTTGACACGCGGTACTTCGTCCGACTCTTCTGCAGGATCCTCGGCGGACACCGATATGGCCAGTAGCATACTGGGAGAGGGGTACATGCTGGAATCACAAGATGGGGTGTTGACCGTGCCGTTCCGATACCAGGAGGATGCCGACCTACTTTGTCCGTTCCAGATACTCGACTGCGACAGGGTGTTCGCCGACATCGTCCACTTTAAGATGCATGTGTTTTCACACTTTCGGGGCCACGAGCTGCCGACCACGGCCGCCTGTTTCCTATGTGACAGCAAATATGTCAACCGCCCCGAAGACGATCCTGCTTTCGCATGGAACACCATGCTGTCACATATGGTGCATGATCATTTCCGGAAAGGCCAACAGCTCGCCACGGTAAGGACAGATTTTGGCCTCATGAAGTGGATGCATGCCCGGCGGATCATCACCGATGCTCAATTCAAGAGAACACAGTTACTCCCAGCTCAGACTGTGCTTCCTGCACGGGCCCACAGAAGAAGACCAGTGGTCAGTGCCACAGAATTGCCGCGAGCACCTTCAGCGTCCCCACCAGCTAGCGTGCGTGCACATCGAGCACAGTCTCTTCAGTATCAAAACGAGCCGTACACAATGAGTGCGGGACGAAGGCAAGACAGACGTCGTCTTGACGCCACTCGGACTCTGATCCGAGCACACAGTTATGTTTGAGATTTTGAGTGAGAATTGATTGATACCCAGCGTTGAGCGTTCCAACCCGACGTCGGATCGGGTCGAATGAGAGCTTGAGTCTAGCGTTACGCACCTTTTTTTGTGCTGAATATTTGCATTGCGCCAATTGGTACGCATCAGGCGTTCGAGGTCGCTGAATCACTGGCTTGAGCAAGCAGATCAGGTTGGCGTTGGTGGGGGGTTTCGATTGTCTCCCTGCCCGTTGGTCGAAGGGAGTTGGATCTGGGACAGGCCTCGATCATATGAGCAACAATCTGTTTCGCACCCGTTGAACCTTGAAGGGATAAGCTCCTCGGCCATTAATGTTTAAGCGGTCCGTGTAATCTTAGTGAGCTTACTCGTATTCTGCTTGAGAATCCTGTAGAAGTATGGCGATACCTCCGCAATTTGGAAGGACAAAGTAAGAAATTTTCTAAGACTGTCCCATGACCGACTGTACGGTAGTAGGTCAATCATTGACCGCAACATGGAATCGGCAGCCTTCCGAAGGAGGCCTGGTCGTTGCCTTCTGACGCGCCGAGCGTCGCTGTCGAGTTGCAGGGATTGGCGCGTCTCAGCAGGGAATCGAAACCGAGGTGTCTGCGCCGATTCGACGACCAGTCCTGATGTCGACAGGGAGACAATCTCTCGCAGGACTCTTGGGCAAGACGGTGTACTATGTACAATCAGGAAAAGAAAGATGTCTTTAAATTGGTCAGAAGGAAGACCCCTGGAGCCACCTGAACCACATGAGCCCCCAAGAGACCCCCTGATCAGCAGATGCCGCCGCCAAATTTAGCGACGACCACGCGTCGTCTCAACCAATCACTTTACGCCAAGGCGTCCGCCTGTCCGAGTTGGATGACCACCTGTTCCACCAGGTGGTTGCAACTTGCAACCTACATTATCTACAAGTACGTACGAGTACTTGTACCCATTAAAGTACGGAGTAAACTTGCGCTCTTCTCTCGATCCCAGAATTTCATCGACCTCAACATGCGCCCGATGCTGGACATCGCAGCTCGGCACACCGCGTGCTGGGCAGTAGCCTCGCCACCCGTGACACGATGTCTGAATCCTCGTCTGTGGGGCCCCATGGCTTGAAGGATGACTTGCACGTGGCCATGAGATAACCGACTGCAGGCATTTCCAGAAAAGGTCGCTTGATTGCCCCCCTGTGAAGTTGCATTGTCAGCCTCATGGAGACCGAGAGATCCTGAAGGGTGCCGGATGAAAGCAAGATCAGACAGCAGTTGGTACATATTATGTCGTTTCCACAAAGAGTTTCAGAACAGGTCTGTGTGAAATTGGGCTTCATCAAGCGTTGCAGAAGAAAGTGTGCAGGACACGAACAAGACATACCGATTCTACCAGAAGCCAGACTGTTCGTTGGCCGATTGGACATGTTGTAGTTGGGCCTAACGGACCCACGATCGTGGCGGATGAATCCAGCAGATTGACCTCGCAATCTGCTGGCTGCTGACCAAGTTCGCATTCCACTAGTTTGTTTCCCTTCCAGTCTTGATATTGTAGCCCTGTATCGACCTCTCTAGGACCAAAGATCAGCATCTAGTAGAGTGCTAAACCTTTGTAGGCCGGGGGTTTGTCTGATGATCTCTGGGCTGCAGATAGCGAGCTAGAACATCTGTCAGATGGTTCTTTCCGGAGCAGCAGATCTTCATGTCTTGACCGAGAGGACAGAATGTCGAAAAGGGAGTCGGCAGAAAATAAAACTCCAAGTCTGCAGGAAACAAGCCTTCGTTGAGAGATTACTCGGTGGAGTTGGTCCGTGGTAGTCATAGGCCAGGTTTACTTCGGTCGCTGGAAAAACCCATCAAGGCTCCGCTGCTTAGCATCATAAGCAACGGATCCCAATCCCCCACGTGCACGCTTGAGATCGAGCAGATGGTCTTTGTTGTTGACACTGTGAACCGTCATCGAGAAACCGCTGAGAGGTGACAGGACCTGATCCTTCATGACAGGCCCGGAGATGGCCGCAGCAATGTCATCTATTCGACTATCAATGGTAACCTCTAGAAATCCGGTGTTAGCCCATGATGGTAAATACTCCAGAGGTCGACTGTAGCTTGGAACCTCGATATTTGGGCCGAGGACCACGCGACCAGCATCGAATTTGCGCAGAAGCGTTTGCCACAATACAGACAGAAAAAGTCCGTGAGACACAACGGCCACACATTCCTGGGCAGGACTTGAAGTATCAGTGGCGGCGGCAAAGAGAGGAAGGATGAAATCAGCCAGGAACGCTTCAGCCCTATCCGACATAGCCCCCGCTGTTTCCTGTGGTCGAAATGATGGATCTGTGGGACCAGGTACGCTGGGGTTCAAGGTATTTTGCGCCCTCCTCGACGACCACGGCACGAGCTCTAAAGACCCAAAGTCCTGTTCTCTGAGCAGTTCGAGTTGGACCACTACAGGTACTTGGCCGACGGGGTACCGTAGCGCCTGCTGCCTTTGTAGCTCGTTGGCGGTCATAAAGGCTCGCTGCAAATCCGAGGCGTAAATTTGGGTGAATCTCAAGTTGCGGTGGGATGTGAGGTAGCGTCCGAGTCGCTGAGTTTGCAGCACACCGTGGTTTGTCAACCTGGAATCAGAAACACCAGCAAGAAGACCAGCCACGTTGTGTTCGGTCTCACCATGGCGGATGAGAAAGAGATGCATGGGATGGCCGAGCAATGAGGCGCAGGTCCAATATTGAGAAACCAAAGCAGCCGGTGAGAGGCAGAAATGAAAAGGCGGTACCTAGTTAGAAGCAAGCAGGTTTGCCGAAGTCTCGCGCTTTGCTCGCGTGGTCGTCCTGCAGGATAATCCTCGAAATACCCGTCAACCACGGAATTATTGAAGCCAGAACTACCTAGGTGCTACGCCATCTGATCTTCTATCTCATCATGGACGGGTTGGTTCAATATTCCAAGTGCCAGTCCGCAAGCTCACTGATTTCTCCGCAGTCTCACACCCGCAGAGCAACGAGAGCTCAATGCTCGTATGGAAGCGAAGCAACTCAAGGAGTTTATGAAGGTGAGTGACCCGCAGACACGTCGAAGTGCAAGGCGCGCCAGTGGGCCAAGAGTGCTAAAACAATCGCAAATGGCAGACATACTCAAACCTCGTTCAACGCTGTTTCGATGACTGCGTGAACGACTTTACCACCAAATCGCTGGTCTCAAGAGAAGAAGGATGCGTGATGCGATGCGTCGACAAGTTCCTGAAGGGATCCGAGAGGTTAGGAGCAAGGTTCCAAGAGCAAAATGCGGCCATTATGCAATCAGGTCAACTACCAGGGAGATAAATCCAGAAGGCCTTATCCCTGCTCGCCATGAGAAATTGTGTACAATATGGAAGGAGGACTCAATGCACAACACACCACCCGGATGGGGAGCTATGGTCTTCCACTTCACTCGAGCCGCTGTAGGATATGTTATGGTGTCTCCAGTATGAATGAAATCAGACCTTCGGACCGTCATGGACGTGTTGGACGGCCAGGCATACGGAGTACAGGAACTTACCTGCCTCCAACACTCGGATTACGCTGTATCTATGTGTGGATCGGGATCGCTGGGTATATGTCTCGGACTAGTGGCATGTGTCCAGGCTGTTGGACAAAAGATATCTTCGAGTTCCAAATGGATACCAAATTCGAAGGAGGCCAAGGTAGACAATTCCATTGCTTGCATCTCACCTGTGGTTCTACCGTTTGCTTGTGAGAACGCGGATGAGCACAGCAAATGGTCATCTTCCTGCATACAAACAATTTCTGTTGGTAACAATGAACCAGCTGAACGACTATGTTGAAGTGTACGGAGTAGGTTTACCAGAACTCGCAGCATTGCCTCTCGGTCGACGCACATATAACAAGAGCGCCACAGTGTGGCGCAAGGATCCGGAGTGCACGGCATTATTTTGGTTGGTGGTGGGCCCATACGAGGCTCTGAGCGGTCCTCAGACATTCCCTCGGCTGGCTTACTGGGGGCATGTAGCGAGTGCCTATTTCGGGGGTCCAGGCGCTCAATGGCTGGGATGTGGAAACGAAACGCTCTTGGTTCAGCTCCTCCAGGCTTTCGGCTCAGGAGCTGCCGGGCATCAAGCAATCAACTCTCTAGTCAAGCCACTGTTTGCCTGCGACGCCTCGGCGCCTCTATTGCACACGGTTGCATCAGTGTATTTCGGACAAACCTTGTCGGCTCTCTAAAGGTCAGGGTCCCACACGCCCGTACCAACCGGGCACTTTACACGCTCGAGCTGTGGTGGCCGTGTCTAAGGTAATTTTCACCTGGTCTTATTTCAGCTCCCGACTTTTCCAAGTTCACTTTTAATTCTCCTGATCATTCCCCTGCTCTGAGCCTCTATTCGCCTGTTAGGGGGTGTATTCTTTTGACGGATCTCGATTTATCTGCCTTGTTTCCGGTGCTCGCCATCGCCTGCTTACATACCACGCGTCTATTACAGTAGTTTAATCCTGTTCGGCTCACGTCGTCGTCGTGTCTGAGACACGTCGACCAACCGTACCGCCTCCTCACACCAAAGAGCGCTCTGCTCCACGTTCTGCTTCGAAGTTGCTGCGCGGATCTTCGGTTCGTGAGAAGCGCGTTCTCGACATTCCTTTCCCCCTCGCCCTCCGTTGTTGCCTTGGACTGGATCCAATCGACTGCTGTACGACAGACTGTCACATCAAGCTTCCCAATCGACCTCCAATGATTTACTAGACCCGTCTGTGTGACCGACCCGAAATCTTCGCCCACTCAACCCCTCCCCTCCGCCCGTCATCGTACTTTGTGGTACACGACCCGAAGACGCGCCTCGACACAAGCCCACAATGGCAAGCAACATCATCGGCAACAGGAACAGCACACCAGAGGCGTCCAAGACCTCACTGCGCCCTCCCAGCTCTAGGACTATCGGCACATCCGGCCCTCATAACCAGCCTGTCCGTTCCTCTGCCGATATGTCTTTCACTTCTCCTCTGTCGGCTCGTTCCATCCGGCCCGCGTCCGAAGTCTTGTACAACCAACAGTCTCAACAAGGAAGCATGGATGACTCGAGCAAACTCGGCGAACAATGGATTCAGGACATTGAACAATACGAGACCATGCTGGAAGAGATGGCTGCGGCAACACTGGACCAGGATTTCAAAGATGAGTTGAGTGCAATTGAGCAATGGTTTCGAGTTCTCAGTGAGGCTGAGCGCACGGCTGCCACCTACGCCCTGATCCAGCAAACCACTCAAATGCAGCAGCGCTTCTTTGCCCAAGTCTTGAACCAGATGTCGAAAAGCCATCCTATTTCTGGGGTCTTATCTCCTGCGAATTTCGGCGAAAAGGATGCCATGTCAAGCCGACTCAGCGACGCCATGTCCAAGTTGAACGTGGAGGACCGCAGGACATCACTTACTCGTCCGCCGGTGTCTCCTGCAGGCAACAAGCGCAACTCGGGTTTGGATCAGTCGACTATTCACGCCATGTTTCCAGATGCTGTGGCTGCAATTCAGCAGCAAAAGGCGGAATATGCCCAGCATACAGGAAATCAGCCGCCGTCCAACAGGAACAGCACAGTAGTTGGCGACCGTAGCTCACTCGTGGCGCCCACGATATCTGCCCCAAGGGAGTCAAAGACTGACGCCATGAGCTGGCGTCAGGGCGGAGGAGAATCGCACCAACCTCCTATCTCTAGACCCAAATCTTCATCCGGTCAACAATCACTGCAACAGCCAATGGGTCAGTTCAGTCAACCCCAATCCTCCGGCGCCCTTCGTTCTCCACGCCCCTTAGGACACACAGGTGGCAACATCCAGAGTACTACCTTGACCGCGCCGGACCCAGCGTCGAGCGAATACCCGCTTCTGTCTCCGTACAACGTGGGAAATCAAAGTTGGGCTTCCCTGAGCAACACCCCGATGGTGCCCAACTTCAGCCAGGCTCAGTCCCACAGTGAAATGGTAGCTAACGCAACAGCCATGAAGCTTGCGGCTCTGTCCACCGTGAACAACCGCATTGCCTTGGACGACGTCAAGAAGTATAGACGTGCAAGGTCTAACGAGCCTCAGCCACCAACCCAACCCCCATTGACACCTGGACTCACAGCTTCGGGCATTCCCGGCATCAATACCATCATGGTCAACGATCATGGCCAGATCCTAAATGCTCAACAGGTGGCAGCGATTCAAGCGCAACAGATCGTTGCAGCTCAAGGACGCCGCTCTCGACCCAACTCTCCTGGTCTCCCCTTGCAGACTCCCCTCGGACAAACCGCTTTTGCCTCTCCTCAGCACAATGGATTCCTGGCCGCATATGACGGGACACCAATCATGATGGGTGCAGGCATGCCTGGCATGGTTCCTCAGACGGGAATTTTTGGCGCGAGTGGTGAAGGCTATCTGTCTGACCACTCCGAGATCAACCGTGGTCGGTCGCCCAGGGGCAGGCGAGGTAGTAGTAAACCTCCTGAAGACCCGACCGACGTGAACTTGCTGAAGGACATTCCGGCGTGGCTTCGGTCACTGAGGTTGCACAAATATACCGAGAATCTCAAGGACTTGAGCTGGGAAGAACTCATCCAACTGGATGACAAAGGACTCGACGCTCGCGGCGTCAATGCTTTGGGTGCGCGAAACAAGATGCTCAAGGTAAGCCAGAAGAAGATCAAGCTGAAACTTGGATGCTAACCGGTACTCAGGTTTTTGAACAAGTGAAGGAGGCCCAGGCAGAAGGCAAGCTCTAGGGAAGCGAAATATCCTCCACGCCGACATCCTCCAGCAACACGGCCGAGAAAGCGCATGCCGAACATAGGCCCCCGGAGGACGCATCTCCCCTCAATCGCTGGGTTCACGAGCAGGAAGGGAAGAAAGGGGTCACTTACCGGTCTTGATCGTGCCGTCATTTAGTCATGTGCTGCTTCATTCTGGCATTTTGGCGAAGACCACGCTCAGGTGTCCACTTTTGAGTGTGGCACGTGGTCCGACTCTACTAATGTACCTATCACGGCCGGCACAACGAGTACTCCCTTGTCGGCATTCTGCGTGCAGAACGGCTGACTGGTGCGGGAGTCACGAGTTCACGTTTTGATATAGCGTGATGAGATAAGCGATACCACATACGAGTCTTTGATGTGAACATGTTAGTTGAACAAAAGCAAAATTAGACTTGGTTTCTCCAATGCTTCTCCTTCATCGCGTGGTTTCGTCGGTTGCACCTGTGCCAACCGACCCAGAGATGGTGAGGACAGGAGGCTAGCCAGCTCAGCCTGCTCACACAGCCTTGCCAGTTCTTACTGGTCAGCTGCCGACCCACCGGAGCCGAGTAGCAAAGAGAGCAAGGTGATACTGCTGCTGAACATCCACCGCGACTTGCGACTAACGGGGCCAGGACACCGGCAGTGACTTCACTTCGTCTGCAAATCAAGACCACCACCCCGAAATACATCATGCCTGCCTCGCCGCAAGAACTCTCCCTGCTCCTGGATCCCCTCGTCCCTGAATCCATTCAACACAACACCCGCGTATGTGAATCCAGTTTACGTGCAATTCCACCCCGGGGAAGCCGTCCTAATATCTGTGACATGCTAGGTTCTCTCCAATATCCGCTCTATATCCGGTCTTCTTCTAGGCATCGCCGCCGGCATCCTGGGCCTTGAATCCCTCTACGGCTTCGCCTTCTATCTCGTCTCCAACACATTGATCTCATTATTATTCTACTTCCTCCTCGCCAAGGGCACACCGCAGAGATACTTTGCCGGGAGTGCCGGAAGTAGAGGACTGAATGAGAAGGGGAAGCCGGGTCGGAATCCAGGGACGGGCGCATGGCGGGAGATTTGGTTCGGCGGAGGATTGACTACAGAGGCTCTGAGTGGGTTCGTCCTAGGATGGGCAGGAGTTGGCGGCGTTATTAGATGATGAGGCGCGGAGCAAAGACTTTCACAATGGAGAACAATGGCTGTTGTGCCGCGTCATGGCTGGCACTTCCTACAGAATACGAGGAAACAGCCCACACGGGGCAAGGGCAAGGGCATGGGCAAGCGCTGGATGAGATCTCCCGGCTGCAGTTCGCTGGAACGCAAGGAGTCATCACTTGATCCGTTGTCGTGGTCGGGTTTATCATGAAAAGTCGAGAGCGAGAATACGCATCTTTGTCCCCCTATCGCGAAGGGCACAGATGATGCTGGGATATGGGGGCACTCAAGGAGCGCTGGAATTGGTGCGGATCGGGGTGCCTCCTTCAATCGCACGAGCGTGACCGGCCTGACCACGCGCATGGGTACCTTCATAGCATTCACTGCCCTTACCGCCCTCAACTCAAGGTACGAGTACTGTACCTGGCTTGCCGGGTCAGACATACCAAGTCCACAACTTGGAGACCGCGCGTGGGTCATTCTGACAAGCAGTCTCGAAAAATCATATTAGCCGTCCAGCAGCTGCGTTCATTCCTTGTCTCCTCAGAAGTTACTCATGCGAATGGGTGATCTGGATTCAACAGAGATGTTACGGGATGTTCCAATTCTTCCTCCATCTGGCGTTGGGTTCCCGAATGACCAAGGAGCAAGTCATGTTTCGCCGTTCGCACATTGAGCCGACGCTTCCCGCAGTACGCAGCACCTGAATCCCTTCCCCGTCTTACTCGTCTTATGTGTCCATCGAGGCGGACCTCGTTTTGGGTGTTGCGAACATCTCCTTCCAGTCCAACCATTCCTCGCCGATATGTCCATACCTTAAGAGGCTGGTCCATCTCATCGGCGGGTCTCCCAGGGAAGCATGCTCTCGACCTGCTGCCATTCGTTCCGCCACAACATCACTCATCATTCGCACCCTTTTCACGGCCTAGCCCGGCTCACGCTTTCACTCGACAAACGTCGTCCGCCACGGATGGTTTCCTCGAGCTTCAATCCAACTGAGTTCCAATACCCCCCGTAATGGCACTGCACGGGTGCTGTGGATGAGATCATCCCCGGAGAACCCACGACCAGTTCACCCAGGTGCAAGCGAATACCTAGACAGCTTGGTCGAAGAAAGAGAGGCAAGCACGCGGTCAGGTGCTGGCGCCGTACATCAAGTAGCAAGAATTAAGATCAACCTACAATCGCCCCCAGTCTTCTGCGCGCAAACACCCTGGGGATCAAAATTCTGCAAGCCTATAAACTCAGGACCGGATTTCGAACTTCTAGCAGCATTGGATGTCAACTTGCAGGCGCAGCACAGTCTCTGACGTCGCCGACGAGCCTGTCGAATTGGTCGCCTGTGCGTCTTGAACCCGCTCTAACCGATTACAGCTCCAAAATGGCTGTTGGCCAGATCACACAAGGACCTGAGACACGAGGCAGTCAAGTCCAACCCTTGCGACATAGTCGAGGCGCAGGCGATCAACGTGGTCATGCCCCTGCTTTGGGTTCCGTTCTTTCTGTCCAGAACCATTACATCCACGACACAACACCACTTCAAGGGAAGCTATCCCCTTTCTAGCCCCTTTTCGTCCGCACCGCCTCTGACTCTAGCATCACAAGGCCGCAGGAGATGCGACCTACCGTCCTTCCAGACCTGAACAGCTCACCGGCAGCGGTATTCCTCTTGACGTCCTTTGCGTCGGGGTGAGGCATTGAACCTTAAGCTGCATACCGCTAATGCACGGTCAAGACCAAATAGCGACCGCATCGGGACTGGCGTCTCCTCTACCGAGATCTCCCAGCCTTACGCTTCGCTCCTGCGTACCGTTTCCAGAGACGTCCGTACGCCTCGAGCTGGGCGGGCCACAATCTTGTCACCTCGAAATAGTATTGTGCAGGGAGACATACAGAACAAAGGACACAGGCCCATCTTCCAATGGCGAGAAACATGGCCAAGGATCAAGAAGTACAAATGGGCCCAGGATTTCCCCCAGCTCCAGCACATCTCTCAGGCTCTGCCCACGAAGCCAGAACAACCAGCTCCTCACCCTGGAACACCCTTACACTCGGTACCGCACTCGGAATTTCACTATGCCTACATTCTCCAGTGCCAGCGAGCTCGATGATCTCGGCGACGACGCCCTCATAACCCTTGGAGGTGCCGTGACTTGGGACTTTGTTGGTGACTATGCGCTTCCAGGGCTCTCACATGACGATCTCGGTGACCAGAGCTTCGATGAGCGTCCAGTCAACGCAGGAGTCACCCAGCGCATGCACATCAATTCCCCATGCTTCGGCGGCACTTACTTCGACCGCGCCCTTGTGTTGGATGCTGGTGGCCCATCGTCCGTCAGCGATCTCGTGTACGCTAATGCTGCACATGGCACTGGCCCTGACGACTGGGAGGGCTATGAGCCTGAAGCTCCGTGGATACCGTGGAGAGTTAATACGACATCTTTTTCATCGTACCCTTCATCTGGAGCCATGCCCGCGGATCCGGCGACCGCACAGGTGGCTGCACGCCCATGGCTGTCGAAACGGAAGCCTCGGTGTCTTAGCTGCCCTACCAAACGTGGCTGTCGAGGATTTCCTTTGTGTCAAACATGCGTAGGGCTGACGCCCTTACGAAGGCCACCAGTAAGGATAGCGGAACACCTTTTCCTGGATCGAACACTCTGGTTTTCTGTTTGCCGGGACCTGGGCCAAGGGGTGGATACACTGCAGGTTGCTCATCACACACACGATGGCTTTTCCCTCGAGCTTCCTTCAGATCAATGCTGCAAAATCGTTCTGGATTTAGGTTTTGAGGACCTGGCCGTCAGAAGAGATATCCAGGAGACACATGTCCTTGCCTGCGACCTCCATCTCGCTTCCCAATTGCTGCCGCCTGATGGGACCCGGCCACCGTGCATCAACATCTTCAGCTTCGACACATTTGTGCTTGAAAGCATGTGGAGATCTTCCTGCATGTCTGGCAAGGAGGACAAGATGCTCTTCGACGGACATTCGGACACGGAAGGACCGTCGAGCACGAAAGGACATGTGCACGCGGTGGGACAGTCGAACACAGAGATACCTTGCGACAAGAACGAACGGACGGGTATATTGGCCAAGGTCGAGAAAGAGAAGAAGGAGCTTCGCCCAGCAGAGCAAAATCTATTTTCGAAGATACAAATTACTCTGGGCTACTACAGCTTACTGCGGAACGTCGACTTGATCTGGACAGCCGAAACCACTCTAGATGTCCTTACCGAGGCCCGCTTCGCCATAGCGGAACTCGTCTACCTTCTGGCTTTTCGAATCAATATGCTCTTCGTCGAGATCTCGTGCGTCTTTCCGGCTCTCGATGGGGACATCTTTGTCGAAATGCACTCATCTCTTGATGACGACGCTCCAACCACCAAGATCCGTCCTGTCATATTTCTTTATGCGGCAGAGATTCTGGTCCGAGGCTTGGAGGCCATCGGAGCCCCCGAATGGAATTTAAGAGACGGGGATTCTCAGAGCCCTCTCCTTCAGTTGGAGAAGAATCTCTCTCAGTCGTTTCAATTCATGGTGAACCATCTACGGGCGTATGAATGCCACCTGTCAGGATGGTACAACAAGAGGCAGAGAACATTTGACATGCCCGGTCTTCTAGCTTTTGTCCGCGCAGCGGAAAAAGGCCTACCCAACCATCTCATCGTCGCCGTCCAGAGGCACACGCCATGGGGCAGCAAGAGTTCTTTTTCTTTCTTCGACCCCTTCCCACTGTTGCAGACGCAGTGGAGTCGATATTCGACGTTCGACTTATTCTCGAGCACTCCCGATGCATTGGCGTCGGCGATGCTTAGCGGTTCCGCAGCCTGCGGACAGCGAGTTCCCGAGTTTCTGATCACTGAGCACAACTCGAGATTCAAGTTATCAAAGTTCAAAAAGTTTGAAAGTCATGACTCCGTCGTCATGACGACCAGCTCGACGGGTGGCCCGGGGCCAGCAACCGAAGAGCAGATTGACCTATGCCATCACCCTGATCCGCCACGATTCTGCGGCACTGACTCTTCGACCTTGGCCCTGGCTGGCCTCCACCTCCGGGACAGTACTGAGTCTCCCAACACCTTGGACGCGCCTTGGATCAATTTCGTCCCTCCTGAAAGATGGGAAGCCGAATTCCGCGACGCTCGAGAACCATCGGATGGGGAGTTACAGGTCTGGGAGTACATGTCACATGCCTCGCCCTCGACACAGCGTAAGCGCAAGCAGGGTGAACGCTCCGTCGACGGCCATCCGGCGTTGGAGTCCGGTCAACTCCCGAAGCGGCGTGAATTGGCCTTTCCGGCGAACCCAGGTATCCTGGCCATGTATTTCGGGGCAGTTGGAGAGGGGACAGAGTCCAAGCTCACGGAGGAATGGGGGATCTCACAGAAGTGAAGGAAGCAACCGAAGTGAAGGAAGCAACCGAAGTGAAGGAAGCAACCGAAGTGAAGGATCTGGCACGGTCGTCCGGGACATTTGCTCTTCGCACCAGAGTCCTTCTGCTGACGCGACACGGCCACGCGCCATGGGGTAGGGCAACGTGGTAGGGTCCAGTCTCGAAAGAAGGCAAATATAAAAGGCTGACCGATCGACTGTGACTTGTCGACGGCAGCGAGGACCCAGACAGGGATGGCCAGGTCAGTCAAGTCAATTGGCGCATCGGTTCGATTTCTAGGGGACGTAATCATCTCTATAGAGTATGTATGTAGATTGCAAACACGAGATTTTCGACTTAGGCTCACCCGCTTCGTGTGTATTGGGTAGACTCGTCCGGCGCACGAGAGAGATGGATACTTTACACTAAGTCCCGGACTCCCAATGCCTCAATCCCCTGCCGGCTTCTTATGTTTATAGGCCCGTCTTATTTAGCCACCACTATACATATATTGAACTGGGGTAAGGCTTCATGGCCAACGGGTTACCCTCTCTGCGGCGGCAGGCACTACCTCTCTCTCACCCCCAACTACACTACATCTTAAAGGAACCTCGAAAAGAACTTTAGTATAGAAGGTAGATATAAATACAAGTATACTAGGATAGAGAATACCTTATATAGTATATAGTATACAACTAAGTAGACACATACTCTATACAGTACATAGACATGGACATGAACTTTAACATACTCCCCCCTCCTCTCCTCTCCTCTCCTCTCCTCTCCTCTCCTCTCCCCTCCTCTCCCCTCCTCTCCCCTCCTCTCTCTCTATCCAAGTACACTCTTCCCCTACGGTTCGAATCACAGTGATATACCTGCCATCCATTAAGCGCTGTCTGATGCTCAACTACAGTGATGTACCCTCCATTAAGCGCTGTCTGATGCTTAACCACAGCATTTGACCCTACACAAATGTCCCTACACATACTGTATCCTGAGACTCGGGAGACGAATACCAGGGGTTTGGAAACACTCTACTCCTCGTGCCCTTTCGCGGAACCAAAATACACAGGCTGTTGTACGCCATCTCCGAGTCACCGCCAGGCTCCGCAGCTCTTACCCTCATCAATGCAATGTCCAAGACCAGGGCCGCGGGCACTAAAGAAACAGCCAACGTTCAAGATACATACAGTCGGACCCACTCCACGCCGCAGATGCTCCCTGACGCCGCTCTAGACACAAATCCTTTGCATAAAAACGCTCCCCTAGTCTTAGACATAGCTGCTGTCACAGCGCCCCAAGCGTCCCAGCAATGGCGTGTCCAGTTACCACCTCGTACGGCGCAACACGCCCGTCGTTGTATCCGATACTCGAGATGTCGTCATTTTGCCACGATTGCAGAGTACGGCAGACTTGACGCAAAGACTTCGCTTCTGGTGACAGTGAACCGCACGGCTTATCTGTTCTTGCCTTGAGCGCACACTGTGACGAGAAGAATGCGTTCTGTTGGACCGCGGAGAACGAAACGGTCATAAAGCTCGTCCTCCTAGTACCTCGTCCCCCGTCGGAGCACACGTCCAGTCAGTGATCGTCGCGGTTCTTGCTTTTCGGTTTTCTCCTCCTTGCTATCTTTATCATCCTTGTCGCCATCCTCACTGGTAGGTGCAGCCTTGCCAGCGTCGCCCTCAACATCCACAGATTTCCGTGCCGCACTGGAGCGCCGACTGGGTCGTCTTCCACTGCCAGGAGTGGTTGCAGCGAGTGATCTCGTGGTGATGGACGGAGACTGCATGACGGATCGTCTTGTGGTTGGCCCGCTGGTGTCTTTGCCGGCATTCATGTCAATCTCAATCGTGTCGGGTCGGCTCTCTGGATTCTCCTCAGGCTGCGCAACCTTGCCGGCTTCGGACTTGTCCTCCGTTTTGACCTCGCCGTTGAGGCCATTCTTTTCTTCTTTCTCCTCGCTATGCTCGTCCACTCCGTTCATCTCCACGTCTCCATCCTTTGTCTTGGGCTGAACTGGCTCTTGAATGGGGGGCGGGTCACCAAACTCCTTTTTATCCTCGTCATTGGCAGGACGGGCTTGTGGCTCATCCAGAGGGGTGACCTGCTCTGGCGCTGCAACAGGTACAGGTGGGTTGGGATTGGTGACCGCGGATACCGTACCATCAGTTGTTGCCGTCGCCGGGCCTTCTGGTCGGGGAGAGGTAGTGGCGACAGTTGTCGGTGGGGTGGAAAAATTCCCTCCATTCGTGACACCCGTCTGCGGACCCTGTGCCTGTTCATCCTTTGCAGCGGCGGACGTGCCGAAATCACCCTGTAGGCTCTTCGGTTCTGGCTCCACCTTGGCCGCCATCGCTAACGGGGTAGTAACACCCATCCAGCTCGGTCGGATCGCAGTAAAGCCGTTCGCTGGGGGCGTGGACGCGGTTTGAGGGGCTGTTGGCCTTCCAGCGCCATCGGTCGAGGCACCAGTGTAGTGGCCATTGGTGGTGGCGGTGTCCGGGCTCTTTTTGACCCCATCGGACATTGTAGGGCTGTCGTCTGTCGCGGTTGGACTCGGTCTGTATCCGGCGGGTCTCGCGTCCGGATCAACTCCGTATGGACCAGGTGTGCCCCGTCTGCTGAAGTCTTGGATTTTAGTCTTGAGCTTCATTTTTAGGTTCTTCGGATCTGCCATGGTCCCGGCCGCGCCTTTTCCGTGCTCACGTTCGAAGTCTTCGACCTCTCTCACGGGGACGCCATATCTCTCGAGCGCCTTCTCAAGGCTACCGATCGTGCCCTTTGGTTGCTCGTGATTCTTCACAATATGGCATTGAAGACCGTGCACTGTACGCCAGTCGATGCGAGCACAGCCATCGTGATTGCACCGCAAGTACATCTCAACTGCAGGGCCTGTGGGGTTGTCAGCGGTCCCTCCGATGCCATAAGACGTCCAGATGCCACGGTTGAGGCCGTCCACCCTTTCACAGTGATGGTGACGATTTGCGAACGCCTCGGACATCTGGTACGGATGGGTGGTCGAAGGGGTCCGTTTCGTGCTGGTCCCACTAGTAGGGGTGACAGCGGCGCTACCCATCGCTCCTGGGTACGGGTGGAAGCGATTGTTCTCCATCACGTTGTTCGTTTGACTCGGCGTTCTGTTGCCGTCCCCATCGTTCGGTGGCCTAGTCAGAGGGACATGGGAGGCTGGCGGCGTATCGGTCGTCCTAGCATTAATGGTGGCGAACCCCGAGGCAGGCGGGGGTGGCGGTGGGGCGTTGACGGAAGCAAAGCCAGATGAGGCGGTGGTGGGTGGTGGTGGTCGGGTATCGTATATTTGCCTGGGAGGGTTGGGGTTTACTGCTGGAGTTACAGGTGATTGGTTACTGGGGACCGTACTGGGAAATGCTCTCGAAAGAGGAGAGGCTGGCCGGCCTAGATGGCTGAATTGTATCCGATCAGAAGATGGCTGTGGAAGATGGCCCGGCCCATTGTTGGCTACCGTCGGAGAAGCATTGGTCGGGGTAGTGGAATAGGATGAGTGGTGGTATGGCCGTGGATATGAGGAGCTGTAATCCCGAGCAAAGGAATAAGACGGAGCCGGTGCAGGCGGCGGCAACGGGCCTTTGGTCGAGATAGGGAAGCTGGGTTGCGGTGAAGGCCTCGACTGAGATGGATTGATGGCATCCGGCTGGCCAGGGGGCCCAACCTGATGACGTTTCGGGGGAGGTGGTAGTGTTGAGAGCGCCGGTCCTGGCGGAGACATTGACGATGAAGAAATACTTCGGCCGCCTGGCTTTGGAGACTCATCGGGCGGCAATCCTCGTTTGAGCCGCTTCAGACGACGTCGAAGATTCTGAAAAGACATCAGCGTACATAAGCGAGATCGAGTGGTCAAGGACCTACGCCCTCTTCCTCTTCTAGCTCATGATCAAATTGGGAGAAAGCAGCATCTTCTCTCCGACGTCGGGCTTCGATTCTGGCGTCTCTACGTCGACGTGCCTCGATGATAGCAGCCCATTTCTGGTCTTGAAATTCACGACGGCGGCGGATTTTCTCATCCTTGCGACTGCGCTTGGCTCTGAGGAGGTCATACTTCTTGACGTTGTGGTCCTCGACGCGCTGCAGCTCGTCAAGCCGCGCCTGGACCGCGTCCGGTGATTCCAGAGCGTGCTTGGACGCCGGAGGAGGCAGAGGAATCGGCGCTGTCAGGGGACTGGCGAGCCTGTATTCATCCCCACCGCCTACCGAGACATCGCTGTCGGACGACTCGGGATCCATGGGATCAGGCATGGCTGAAGAATGGTATGGAGGTGGTTGATGATAACTTCTAGGCGGTGGTTGCTGGTATGGCGATTCCCATGACGAGCGCGGACGCTAAAACAGGTGATTAGTTACAGGTGCAATATGAAACAAAGAGAAAATCTAGTAGTCGAGGTTGACGAATCAGGGGGGCTAATGATAAGAATGATGATGGAAACTCCCTCGAGCATGTGGCGGGACGGTGGTGGGTGCAGAGAAAGGGGCAGTCCTGCAATGCCCGCAATCCGCAGTTATGACAGGCGGTCCATTTTCAGTCGGAGGCTTGGAAGCACCGATAACGAGATTGAAGTATGGTGGATGAGGTTGATTAGAACGCACGGTCCGGAAAGGGCAATAGACTGATGCAATGAGCCATTCGTGTAAGAATGCCAATAGCGTGCTAGGGAGGATGGAAATTACGCCCGCACAGACCGGTGCAGCTGAATAGTCCCGAATGGGAGCGAGGTTGTATTGGGACGCGGCCGCGATTGGGCGCAGGGCTTGTCTTGGGAGCTGCAAAGCGGAGTCGACGTCGCAGGTATGAATGGGCGCCAAGATGAGGAAGGCCACTTGAAGCGAGGTGGAGGTGGAGGCGGTGCGAGGCGTGAGGTGTGAGGTGCGAGGGTACGAGCTGCCCGTGGAGAGATGCCCAGTGCAGGTCAGCTGGGCTTTGCCCATCGTATCGCCTGAGGTCATTTGTCGCCAGACAGACCATGGGCGTGGCATTCATGTCTCTTCATGCCGCTATCTTGGGCATGTCTTCATAGCTCAATGTGTAGGGCGCCAGTCCGAATGTGGTCGTGTGAATAAGTGGTTTGACGTGATTGACACCCAGCCAAGCTGCCAGTCGCATAGTCGTCGGGTGCCCCAACTGAGTGCCGGGCAGCGGGTGAAGTTTGCATGTCCTTTCTCTCATGGTGGCTTTACAGATGTGCAGTGGTGAACAGAGAAGAGCATCGAAAAACAAGCCAACATACCTCGGGTCCGAAATCGTGAGAGACCTTGCGTGGCAGGTCGGATGGTGGCCGCGCATACATGGCTGAAAGGCGAATCAAAGATATGCGGCGAACTCGTAAAAGCGGTAAAAATAGAGCGCCAATGGGGCTACCCGCAAAATCAAATCTGGCGCTGGGTCATCGTCGACGGGTGAAGGGTGGTGAGACAAGGTTGACAAAATCTGGCGGTGCACAGTTCTGAGAGACTGACGGCGGTCACTGGCAGGGTGCGTGAAAGTGACAGGAAAAAAACAAGTCGGAGGTGAGAGAGGAATGAAAGAAAGCAGAGATGGGAAGGCACCGTCACCGGTACGCGCGAAGAGTGGCCTAAGTTAGAGTCGTATGAGTTATGCATTAATTGGGGAAGGTGCTATGATAGAAGGTTAACAACAAGCGAAGAGGCGTTCTAGAGGCGATGCGGCCGCCGAATGGTTCACAGCTGCGACCAACGAGGCGCAAAGTGTAGAGAAGACGTGGACACACTCCTCGGCACGGGCAAGGAGAAAGCAGGAAAGCGCAGCTGCCGTTGCGAGAATGGACTGTGTAGGAAGCGGCTTCTCGCTTGAGCCTGTGTGGCACCATCTTGACTATCAAGAGGGCCAGTGTCCAATGGACGAATCGCCCAATAGTGAATACGAAGCACAAGACACGACCCAGTACCGCTACAGGGGCATCCACGCCCTCGTCCGGAAGCGGGTGGATTGAAAAGGGCAGCGATTGACGAGATTGAGTTGGATCGTCCACCGTAATCTTGATCATGCCAAGTGGATACCGTGGGTGCGTGGATAGCGTGGATAGCGTGGATAAATATGTACAGTCACTTAGCTCGCACCGCAGCGTCGACAGCCTGACGGGGCCGGATACGATACTGGGTGAAGTTTGCAGCTGGTGTTGCTGGGTATTTGGGGCGGAGAATGTCCGCCCGTGGACAGATCCTTCTCCCCCTTGATGGCGCTTCCGTACTCGCACGAGTACGACGTGCGCTGGAGGAATAGCTCGATCGGGAAGTTGCAGCTGCAGAGGAGCCGTTGCGACGTTCGTGGAGGAAGCCAGTCCACTTGCTGCCTGGTTGTTTCAGTATACAGACGCTCGGACGCTTCCGAAGCAGCCTGGAGGCGCCGCGGATTCCTGATCAAGATTACGGAGTACCTGGCTGTGGCCTTATCCCTTGGCCTCTGAGGAAGGCCGTGTGACAGGGACGCCCCGCGCACGCCTCCTCGCATCATAGACGAAGGCGGGACGCGATAGGGAGTGGTACAGGAGGACGGCGTACGGAGTACTCGTAATGCACAGGCTGGCTGCGGTCGCCTGCGGAGTGCATAACCACTCGGCCGACCACCTGATAGGCGCATAGTATACACCTGGCGTCGCCGAAGCGGCCTGGGGGGCAAGGGGCCTGGATTCGATTACATCAATAATTCGCATCGGACCCTCTAAGTGTTGGTTGCCCGTTTACACTTCCTGCTCACTAGCCTCGTATAGCCGTCCGGTAGGCGAAAAGCCCCGCGCCCGCAGTGCGTGCCTACCAGGTTATTTTCTCATGGCCTTTTTACGCCGTCCGAGCCGCTAATTTCACAGTGTTTGGTATGATTTCCTCCTGATTATGCGAACCTTTTGCCCGCTACGTGATACGAATCGAATTCTCTTGTCCGCAACACCGGCTGCAACCAGGACATAGTGCCGATTACTCAATCTCCATCTGCAGCTTATACCACGTCCTTATACGCGTGGACGATGCTTGTTAAGGTAATGGCTCTGGTTGCTCAGCCAGAGTATTAGATGACGCATCTCCACCGTCCCAAGCCGAAACTGCTCTCGCTGCCAGGCGTGCAGTCAATATCACGTCCCCTACGGAGGCTCCGGAGACCCCCTGATGCTGTTTTCTTATTGCAGTACCGTTTCAGGGAGTTTTGACTTCATCCTGCCATCCTACTCCGCAACCCATACTCCGTCCTTGCACCTAATATGGCAACATATACGGGAATCTCGACAAAGATGGAGCGTCTCACTCTTTCCGCCTCCCTAATCGGTTCTTGAATCATTGACCCTTTCGGCTGCGTTGAGCCTCCCTCCACATCATCTTGCGAGCAGAGCCGCCTCGTACACCGACCCTTGCGTCTTGATCGTGCAGAAGCAGTGCCGCGGTGAACATAGAATTAGGGCTCTTCCGGAGGCTATTTCGAAGTGATCTGCGTGCGTACTCCCCTTTTAAAAGCCCCCCCCTTGTTGTCAGCACTCACTGCACTGTCTCCACTATTCCATCCTCGAGTAAGCCGTCCCAGTAGTGGCTAGGTCCGGGAACAGCCATACACAGTACAGGTCTACCTGGTCATACTGCCAGAAAGTGCTGCATTGGGTATATGCACACTGTAAGGAGGAGGAAACACCGATACAATTCCTCGGTGATTGACAAACTTGTCTTAAGCTATACCGCCAAATGGACCAATCAAACTGCTCGCATTCCGAGGACGAGTAGCATCCTTCTATGCAAGGAACACGGGAGAGCGGCCGCAGTCATATCCATCTTGTAGCAAGCTGTAACATGTCATGATTTGCTGATGCAGAGCAGAACTTGAGTAGAGATTTGCTTTTCTATTTTCACACTCGAGGCACACTCGCCCACGCCAGTGAGCAGGTCAAGTATACCCACTTATCCATCTACATATTACACCTCGGCTTCTTTCGTCCTTGACAAGACACCTTTGCTCAATCAACCGCTGTTGCAGTCGTCCTTTTGCTGCACGAACTTCGCTGAGATGATGTGTCATGGTCGTGGTAGATCCTCCGCTCCCACCACTCGTCCATTCTAACATGACCAGCAATGCTTTTCCCCATCGTGGCGAGTAAGCATTTGTCCTCACCCAAAATAGACAAAGTAGAACACAGAGAGAGAAGCCTGCCAGTCACGATCCGAAAATTCCCCGGATGGTCGTCATCCTCCGAACCAGCAGTGAGAAGTTGAGTACAGGGATATCATTAAAATACAAGTCGCATAAGACGCTTTTCGACCTTAAGGCTTCTGCTCACCACCTTGCGCGCCAGCTTCACCACCGGGGGGAGGAGTCTGTGATGACTCTTCACGAGCCTTGTGCATCTTGTCGAAGAGGGTGAGAGCGGATGTTTGGAGCTCATCGATCTTGGCCTTCATCTCCTCGGCGGTGGCAGTGCCCTCGCCAGCCTGGTTCTTGGCGACGTATTCACGTAGAGAGGCAATCTTCTCCTTGATGGTATCTGCCTCAGTCTTGTCGAGCTTGTCTTCAAATTCCTTGAGCGCCTTCTCAGTGTCATTGAGAACACTGTCGGCACGGTTGGCGGCTTCGATAGCGGCCTTTCGCTCCTTATCTTGAGCACCGTACTTCTCAGCGTCATTCACCATGTTTTCAATTTCAGCATCCGAGAGACCTGAGCCAGAGGCAATGGTAATAGACTGATCCTTGTTGGTGGACTTGTCCTTGGCGTGGACGTGCACGATCGAATCGGCGTCGATGTCGAAGGTGACCTCAATCTGAGGCACGCCGCGGTGCGCAGGTGGAATGCCAACTAGCTGGAAGTTACCAAGCAGCTTGTTGTCGCGCACAAGCTCGCGCTCGCCCTGATAGACCTTGATCTCGACGGCGGTCTGGAAATCGGCAGCAGTGGAGAAGATTTGCGACTTCTTGGTGGGGATGGTGGTGTTGCGGTTGATCAGGCGAGTGAAGACGCCGCCGAGGGTCTCGATACCGAGCGAAAGAGGGGTGACGTCGAGGAGTAATACGTCCATAACCTCTCCAGCAAGGACGGCACCCTGGATGGCGGCACCGATGGCGACAGCTTCATCGGGGTTGACCGACTTCGCGGGATCGCGGTTGAAGATGCTCTTGACCGACTCTGTAACCTTCGGCATACGAGTCATACCGCCAACGAGGATGATCTCCTGAATGTCCTTGGCTTGCAGGTTGGCATCTTTCAACGCCTTGCGGACGGGCTCAATGGTCTTGGAGATGAGAGGGTCAACCA